AATTTTGCCTTTGAAAAATTATCTCGTGGAAAATACTTGGTTTTAAGAATTCTGTGCAAGTGTGTCTAGGTTGGTTAAAAACCTCTACCCTTATTTAGCTAGCATAGCTTTATTAAAGTCTCTCATTTCTCTGAATTCCATACCACTATCTTTTTTTGACCAACAAATCCTTTGTCAATTTTGCCAATTAATTCCTTTTTTCTCTGTCATTCCTCCACCAATAATTGCTAATTAGGTTGTTTAATTCATCACACAATGATCTTGGCAGCAGGAAACGTCCTATAGCATAGGATGGAATTAATTATAGTATTGACTTGACGAATGCTTCCTTTCCTCTCATAGAAAGTGTTGCAGACACTTAATTTTATTCGAGTTAATTCGAGTGTGTTTGATTTTTATGTTTCAATTCGTGCCAAATTATGAGTTCCAATTAGATTGAGCTCGATTAGGATTTATTTTGGATTAATCAATTTTGGATTATTTTTTCATGGACTTGAACCAAATTTCATTTCATTATTGGGTCAATTTTATACTAAGGTTGGAAGACCAATTCAAAAAGCCCAAATCTGATAATCAAGGCCTAAAATCTATCTTACAAGCCCAAAAATCAATGGAACCTAAATTTTAATTTTAAACCCAGTTTTATTTTTATTAATTAAAAATTAAAAAATCATAAAAAATACAAACAAACAAATAACAAAAAAAGGAAAAAGATAAACGGTAATAGCTAACAATTGTGTAGAGCACTATCTGTCTAGTCCAAGCCACAATTAGCCAAAATTTTTTGTAACAAGGTTTTAAGAAAAATAGAAGGTTAGTTGCTAATAAAATCAACAAAAGAGGCTTGGCTAAGGAAAGAGTTTTACAGATAAAAAAATCATTATCTATCATCAACCTCCATTTTAATTGAACCCTCTTGCCATTTTCTGTTTACAACCAGGTCCTTGTAACAAAAAATTCTACCCTATACCAAAACCACATCACCACCAACAAGCTCTGTCTCCCTTCATAAGCCTCCCCTCAAAAATCACCTTACCAACAACATTAGCCTATCACTGCCTACTGCCACAAACCCATTCTCTAAATTTAAACACCTTTGAACCCAATCAACCCATTTCTTTCAGTCACTATCATCAAAATACCTACCTAAAAACAACACATAAAAGACTATAGTCCTCATCTCGGGGATGAACCTCAATCACAACCATATGAAAAACAAATAAAAAAATAAAAAAAAATCAAATAGAGAGGGGTTTGGTTATCCTAGGATTTGTTGGGCTTTAGGGTTTGTTTGGGAAGACTTGGCTTGGGCTGGTGAGGAAGGAAAAATGAAAAAAGTTTGAGAAAGAAAAGCAAGCTTGAAGTACAACATTGTAAGGCAGTGTGAATGGCAACGACAAGATTTTGGGATCTATGCTAGTGAAAAGGAAAGGAAAGAAAAGAGCAGCAACATATTAGAAGTTCAAGTTGATCGAACGGCGGGAAATGGGTAGAATAGATGTTTAAATTTTTAGGTTGAAATCCCATATTTACAACTTTAGATATATTTTTCAAGAAAAATAAGGTTGGATATGAGAAAAAGACGAAGAAAGAAAGCTTTCAGTGAAATTTGGGAGCCAAATAGTGCCATTCGATGGTGGTTGGTGGTGAGCTATGATGACGGTGGTGGTGGTGGTGATGGTGGTGATTTTCTACTGGCAACTGGGAGAGTTCTAGCTCTATTGTGTTTTTCTTTAAAAAAAATGGTTTTTTTCTTTTTTTTAAAGAAGGGAATGGAAATGATGTAAAAAAATTATCTTTTATAGCAAAAGCCAATAAAAAAATCATACTTGACCCAACCCAGCTTCTCCAACCACCCACTTAATCCAGTCCAAGTTTGACCCAAAAGCCTGGTTCACTTGGGTCATTGATATTTTTGGGCTTTAACTTAAGCCCAAGTGAGGTATATATATCTCCTCTAACTTGACCTATATTATTGATGTTACATGTATTTTACATATTTTTAATAATCATAAATATGGAAATCATTTTTATTAAAAAGAAAAGATATAATATCTTTAAATAAAAATAAATGTTTTAATACCAAAAATGTTATTTTCATGCTAAATGAATCAATTTGATAAAAAGACAAATATAATTACATGCACCATTTAATTTATATTTGTATTATCATGTGTATTTTATGCATTAATTATAAATGTGAAATAACAAAATAGAAATTTAAATTTTTTTAAAAAAGATAGAATTGTATTTCTGTTAAAAAAAATTAGAAACCTTACCTAGATATTAGAGGAAATTCAAATAATTTTTTGAAGGATTAATTTTTTTGAATTTTGCCTAAATGTTGAAGAATTAAAGAAATTTCTTTTTCACAAAATATATAAATAATAATAATAACAACAACAACAACAACAACAACAACAACAACAACAACAATAATAATAATAATAATTTCATCATTGTTTATATTTACTTTTTACTTATTCAATAACTTGTTACATGCATTAGCATTATAAATTATCATTTATATGTCATATTTTATTATATTCATTCATTTATATTTGGTATTTGCATTCTTTTTAAAATGTCTCTCGAAAGGATTAATAAAAAATCTAATTTTTAGAAAAATTATGAAAATCAAGCTTGCTTCAAAAGTCTACCAAGATGTTCATAAAATCATGGAAACCCCTAAACCGTAAAACCATAACCCTAGATCTTAAACCCAAAACCAAAATCCAAAACCACAAACTTGAAATCCGATACAAATACCAAAAAAATTCTAAAATTCAAGAATTCTTATGAAAATTACATATGAAGTAATCTGTTCTTGAATGCCACCTAGAGGATAAGGTATTTAGAAAATTTTATTTCATTAAGTTTTTCATGTGATTCCTTAACAAAAAATAATAATAAGATCAAACAAAAAAAAGGTAATAAAAGTGAGATCTTAAATATAAATAGTTATACCTAAACTCTGTCTAGAGGTTAGAGAGTTTAAGTGGTCTTTTTTCTTGTATCCGATTCACCAATAAGCCTTTATGGATCAACATTCATTCTTTCCCTTAACTCCACATCAATATGGATTTTGGAGAAACTTCTCAGTTTGATATCCATTTCATGTCCCCACATCATCACAATGCTCCATTGCTAACTCCAAAACACTCACTCATTTTACATTTATTTTTTATTCTATTTAATTTTTTTCTCATGCAGTTTAGTTTCAATCAAGAAAACTACGTGGGGATCTTTACTCAAAACCCAAATTTATTTTTCTTAACTTTATCATCATCGCTGCTACTACCTCAGCCCTTTATTCCCATCTCAGCACCTCTAAAGCCACTCATTTCCATGACAAAGAAGCAAACAAAAAATTAAACACATAGGACAAGCAAATTAAATGAAAAAACTACTAAGAATCATGACTCAAATTCCATAATAAATTTATTTGGGATTGATTAAATATTACTTAATGGACAAGAAAATTTGCAGAAAAAATTTTTAAGAGAAAATAAATTCTTAATTAGCAAGTTTGACTTACAGATAAAAAACTTTAGAAAGAAAAAAATTCTTAATAGGTAAGTTAGTATGCTTATAAATAAATAAATAAAATCTTTGTAGAATTAAGTATGAAAAAAAGATGTAAAAGAGTTGTAGGGTTTTATGGATAAACACTTCATAAGAGTACTAGAGATTTACTTCTTGTGAGTGTATATATTTGTATGTTTGTAAGTAGATTAGAGGAGATTGAGAGGGTTCACATAGATATGGTATATAGGAGTGGACTAGAAGAGATTGAGAGGGTTATTGATTATTAAGTGAGATTGATTTAATTTATATATTTGTAATTTTTTATAATTAATAGATCTTATATTTTATCCGTAGACGTAAATTAATTAGATCGAACTGCATTAAATTATTATCTCTTGTGTGTTTGATTAGTTGATTATTTGATTTCACTTCTATTAACTTTGATGTTTGATTGGATTAGAGGTTTTAGCCCAACAAAAACAAATCAAACATATAAAATTAAACCCATTTTCATTTTTCTTGTAAAATCAAGCATACAGAAACTTAAAAATACATAATAACACGGACTAATTAATTCGAAAGAAATTCAAATTTTCAATAATTGAAGATTTTTAAGCTCAATCGAAGCAAACCCAAATTCAAATCTCACATTCCAACCAAAATCATTACTGTCTTTATTTTAAAACACCCATAAAACTCGTGACCCATTCCATCTAATTAGGAATCACTCATCCACCAAAATTCCCTTGCTCTAAAAACCCAATTCCTCCAAAAATACCTGCAAAACAAAAAGAAAAAAAATAAATATAGCTACTGGTCCGCAAGCCAATAATGTGGTGTGCAAGGGCAAAAAATCTCACTACTTCTCTGATCTCAAGGGGAAGAATCCAATAATTCACCAAATCTTAAGGCAATTGGCTGTCTTTAGTGTAAAATTATAACATAAGATATATTTTTAATTATGATAGTTGAATGCTTTTGATGAGCATTCAATTTTCATATTTAATTTTATTGTGATGGTTACGTTTATATTTAAATATATATTTTTATTATTAATTTTAATTCTATCATTACAATATTCAATGATAATAACTAATTTTATTACTATTATTAGGTTTATTAAGTAACCGTCATTATTATTTTTAATGTTATAGTCCGTCAATTTAAATGTACATTAAATCAGGAGCCTAAAAACATAATAAAAGAAGAATAAATTGGTAACTAGTTTCACGTCGGTTTGGGTGTTAGACGTGATTAATTTGCCTTTGGTCGGTATGCCGAATATTTTCAGATCAAATAATTAGTAAAAAATTCGGTATCACCAACGTTTTAATCTACTATAATAATCAGATACATTACCATTTTTTAAAGTATTTTTAAGCATTATTAAAGGACATGCAGTATAATGTCATTGTTACTGCCCCGTCCACGAACAGGCCCTATCAGCCTGGAAGATTGCAATCAGCAAATCATACTTTAATTTCTTAAACATAATCCACTTTTTAACAATTACATTAAAAAAAAAATAATGAAGTCGAGACTAGAGGATTTTCAAGGATCCTGATCCTGCGAGCCAAGCTTTAATTAATTTTTTGAGAGCTTCAAGTTTGAAGTGATTTTATTATGAATATTATTATTACTATTAAATATTGTGAGTAGTACAGTTTTTCTGATATGAATGCAAAGAGATTGTATCATGCAATATTGATGGAGAAAATAAGATATACCTCTTTGCCTTTATGCTTTTAGAACCTTTATTACGCGTATATGAAGACAAAGAGATCAAACAGAAAAGCATGGGCCTGAAATATATGCAAATAGCAAAAAGCAAAAAGGAATCAGCCGAAAGCCTAAATGCTTAAAAAGCTACCTTTTAGTTTGATTACTGCTTGAGGCCGGGAATATTAATACTAAAAAACAAGCTGCCCGTTTGGGTTCCAGTATGGGTCAGAATGCAAACCAATGGAAGAGATCAAAGGCTGCCCCTTCGATTCCTTAATTATGATCCTCACAACTTGACCGTGAACCTGTTCAAGTCTGTGAAGCCGCTTATATCCCACTGTTGTCCCTTCCACTAGTTTCTTGCCATCTACATGAATTTCATGGCTTACGATCCTTTGTCCCAGCCCAATTGCTTCTTGAATTCTGACAACATTGAATTTCAGCCCTCCATTGGGCACTCTGATTTCAATCCAATGTTCCTTTCTGTCACCATCATCCCTTGGGGTCCAATATGTCCAAAGATGATCACTATCCAACACATTCTCGGGACCAAAACCACCATCCTTCCCCCCTCTTTGGCTACTAGCTTCTATGAAACAGTTCTCTGCCAAATTGTTAGAAAATATTGTGTCAATTGCACTTCCAAATTCTTTTAATCTATGAGCATCTGTTTCAGATATAAGCCCTGTTGAATTGGGTGGTACATTAAGTAACATGACACAATTTCTGCCAACTGAATTGTAGTAAATCTCTAAAAGCTCGCTTAACTTCTTTGGTGACTCCGATTTATGCCAAAACCATCCTTTTCGGATTGAAACATCACACTCTGCAGGCAACCAATTTGTCCCTTTTGGATCACCCGTATTAAGATAACTGCATTATTGAAACAAAGAAGCAGTTACTAGAGAAGTTCATCGTTCAAATGGATGACTTTGTTGATATAAAAGTGCGATCCAATGGGATACAGCTGCTAATCTAAGTTGTTAGGTAAACCGCAAGAACATCTACTTTTGACGTTATTTGAAAAGTATCCCTAACTATCTTAAGGCGGTGGCCAGTGCTCACCAGAAACTAATTAAAATCAGAGATTAGAATTTTTGTTGGTGGAATTAAAATCAACGCACTCAAAAAGTGATTGGAATATGAGAAAAAAAGGAAAGAATCTTTACTTTCAAATGATTAACATATAGTATCAGCCATTTAAATCACTACCAAACTTTGAAATATTTTGCGTTCACATCTTGTTGTTATTAATTCCTTATTTTGCTTGCAATACTACTTCATGTAGAATTCGAAGCGTAGAATTGAACTTACTCAATAATGCTTGCATTTCCGATTGATAGCAAGGTACTGTTGATGGTAGACCAGCTGGTGTTTCCGGCAAATCCTTGCTCATTTCCCACCCATCTCACATCAGGACCGGCATCTGAAAATATATTGATTGAACTCTGCAACTCTCTCACCATTGCAAACCAATCTGTGAAATAGTAGGACATGTTCTTGGCATTTTTACCTTTCGCTCCATCAAACCATATCTCCTTCACACTCCCATATCTGGCAAATGCATGTGACACCACACGATTAAAGTGCACTAATAATGAGAAATTTAATTAATTAAAGACAAAGAAAAGGAACTTCATTAAAAAAAATATTTTCATTCTTATGGATTTGGAATTTTGTGAAGAATAAATGGAAGATCAATAAAGTTAAAAAAAAAAAAAAGATATTGTTTTTGATCCTACTTGTTAAGCAGTTCTTGCAACTGAGCTAAGTAGAATTCATTGTACTGCAAATCATGTCCATATCGTCGATCATGGAGATCCCAGGGTGACAGGTACAATCCAGCATCGATGCCACCATGAGCCTTGATTGCACCGACGAACTCTTGCACCACGTCCCCACGGCCATTTTTCCAAGGACTAGATATAACAGAATGATCCGTATATTTAGAAGGCCACAAGCAAAAGCCATCATGGTGTTTTGCAGTGAGGATCATGAGAGAAATCCCTGCTTCTGCAGCTGCGGCAACCCATTGGTTAGCATTGAGACCAACAGGCTTGAATATGGATGGGTTTTCTTTCCCAGTACCCCATTCGGAGTCTGTGAATGTGTTGACACCAAAGTGAAGGAACATTATGATCTCTCTTTGTTGCCATTTCAATTGGGAAAATGTTGGGAGTGGTAGAACTGGAAGCGGTGGTGTTGGGACTTGTTCACGCCCAGAAATGGCCAATTGTGACAGTTGAAATATTGTGATCATACATAAAGAACACCAAAACTTAGCCATAACGCTTACGGATCTTTTTTTTCTGACCTCCGCTACTTGTCTAATCTAATATGTAGATAATGAAGAGGTAGGGAATGTGACCAAACAGAAAGAGAGTTTGGGAGATTCTCTGACAAAAGAGAAGAAAAGTGCAAGAAAGCGTTTTTATTCGAATGCCGTTTGGTTCTTGTACTATTCTCTGGCTTCGTTATAATTGTATTTCGCGGGTTGCATTGGCCTTCCCAATTTTCCTTTTCAGGTCGTGTGAAGTGTGAACAAAATACTGGTAAAGGTGTTTACATTTAAAGTGTATATTTGATATATTATCTGAAAATTAAATGATAATAATTTATTAATGAGGTGAATTAAATAATAATATTTTATTAATAATAAGTTATTTTAATTTATGTATATTTATTTATTAATAAATTATTATTAATTAATTTATTAACAGTATATAAAATTTATACATTAATATTTTATCAAATATAAACTCTTATGTTTATCCATTTTTTAAGGTTCAGTTTTTTTACTTAACATTTTAAAAATTGGTAGGGTAAATAGTTTTTTTTATATTTATGGATATTGAATTTTGATAACTAAAATTAAAAATTCAATATTCATCATAATTATTAACAAAGTTGGTAAGTATTTTTAATTCCCTTTTTAAGAAAACATGAATGAAAGGAAAAAAGCCAATAATAAAAATCAAAACCCATAATTAAAATTTTCCACTTATTTTAAATGGCAAAGATGTTCTCTTTTTGTAATAAAAAAACAAATGTAAAAAAAACTTTAAAAAAAAAAAAAGCAATGAAAAGGAAAATCTATATCTACACATATATTGAAAATAATTTGTTAAGAAATTACCAAATTACCCCTCATGATTTGATAAGAATTTGACATGTAGCCAAATTGATTATTATGTTCTTATACCATAATTACGAAACACCCCTTTTATTATAATTATTCACTATAATATCTTATATCATAATTACAAAAATATCTTTTTTTTTTAAATTTACTATTATTCTCTTATATTATAATTACGAAAATACTCATCTTATAATTATTTACTATAATCACTCATATTATAATTACGAAAATACTCATTTTCTTAAATTAACTATTATACTCTTATACTATAATTATGAAAATATCCCTTCTCTTATAACTATTTATTATAATACCCTCATTTGATAATTTTGAAAATATTTCTCTTATTATTAAATTACAAAAATACTCATTTTCTTATTATTGACCAAAATTACTATAATATCTTCTTACTACAGTTACGAAAATACCTTTATCTTATAATCGATCAAAATTACTATAACACCTCCTCCAATTAGAATTTTGAAAATGCTATTATGAATGCTTAATAGGAAGTTGATATGTGGTCTTTTATTTCAAATCAGTAACATATATTAAAACAATCCCCTTAATAATTACTATAATAACCCTTTATTTATTTGATATGAGGTCAACATGTATCCAAATTTACTATAATTATGAAAATGTTTATTTTCTTATAATTAGTTAAAATTATTATAATACACTCTTACAATAATTACAAAATATCCCTCCTAATATAATTGACTAAAATTACTACAATATCTTTTCTACGAAGATTAAGAAAATACCCTCACCATAATTGGCCAAAAATTATTATAATGTCTCTCATATCATAAGTATGAAAATACTTTTATGAGTATTTTATTAGAAGTTGACATGTGTCATTTTATTTCAAAATTACTATAATACCTCTATTAAATTATATATTAAATTTTAACATAATAAAAAATTAATCACATGTCATTACAATTGGTTTATAAAAATTTGACATGTTATATTTTATTTAAAAATTATTATAATACCCCTATTAAATTACATATGAAATTTTAACATAATATAAAATTAACTATGTATTAGATTACTAAAACACCTTTGCCATTGCTTCATAAAAATTTGACATGTTAAATTTTGTTTAAAATTTACTATAATACCCTTATTAAATTACTTAGTAAATGTTAAATAACATATATTAAAACAATTCCCATTGAAATTGCTATAACTCCCTTTTGTTTATTTGATATGATTTTGACACATATCCAAATTTACTATAATATTTTTCTACCATAATTACGAAAATATCCTATTCTCATAAGTAGCCAATATTATTATAATACCTTCATACTATAATTGATCAAAATTACTATAATACCATCGTACTATAATTACAAAATACCCTTCCTATCATATTTGATCAAAATTACTATAATATCCCTCATATCATACTTACGAAAATGCCCATCCCACTATAATTGGCCAAAATTACTATAATATCCCCTATACCATAATTACATATATGTCCTTATGAGTGCTTCATAGGAAGTTGACTACTCAATCATCATTTGTTAGAACTATTCGAGTAAGTTCCTTGGTTTGAATAGGGCACTTAATCCATATCGCTATTACTAGATCATGGGGGGAATTTGTTTGACAGAATAATTTCTTAAATGTGTTACTGCATCACAAAGGGTTACACTTACTTTTTTCAAGTTGATGGAATTTTTATGCTCAATACCCTAATGCAAGTAGTCATTTATTTGGTACCTCCCAAGGCTAAAAAATTGTCATTCTAACCCATTTTTGGGGATTCCATCTATAAATGCAAAGTTTATGATTGACTGATATTGCACACCATCATTTAGCTATTGCATTTCTTTTTCTCATTGCTGATCATATGTATAGAATAAACTTTAGAATTGGTCATAGTATAAAAGATTTTTTAGAAGCACAGATTGCTCTAGGAAGACAATTGGGGCGTAGGCATAAAGGTCTTTATGCCCCTATTAAATTACATGTTAAATTTTGGCATATTATAAAATTAGCCACATATTAAATTACTAAAATACCCTTGCCATTGCTTTATAGACTTTGACATGTGGTATTTTATTAAAAATAATAAGAACTAAATGATCAAGTGAAGTGGATAATTATAATTTTTTATTAAAATAAAATTAAAATAATTTATATTTTAAAATAAAAAATATTCAATCCCTAACATAATAGGGACCGCACACTAGTTTTATATGTTGAAAATAATCCCTGAGCAATTCTATGTTGACATTTTGTCTTATTTGATTGGTTAGATGAACATAAGCTTTTTTGTTTAAAGTCGGAGCAAAAGCCAATGTCATTTGCAATAAAATAAAAAAAAGTAAAAAAAAAACCATCTAGAACCTAAGTCAAAATAAAAAATTAAAAAAAAAAGATGAACTATATAGAGAAATAAAAAGAGAGATAAACAATCAACGCCTTGAAGAATCTAGCAAAAAAGCTAGATGAAGGGTTAGTTAAAAAAAATTGAAGGAAAAAAAGATAAGAAAAGCAAGAATAAGAAAGAAAACGAAAAAAAAAATAATGGAAGAAATGTCTTGGCTTCTTGAAATCGTTGCTCTGCATATTTTTAATTTTTTAAGATTTTTTTATCTTTTTATCTTAATGAAAATTTAATTGAGTTTTGTTTTTATACAAAAGACAAGTTGTGAGACGAGGGATGGTCGATCAAGCATCGATTAAGCCAAATAGTTGGGTAATCGATGCTAACTATTTAAAAAAATAAAAAAAGACAATAATGTGAATGAAAAAGAAAAAAAAAGTTAGTAAATTTTCTTTTTTAAATTTTTTAAATTTTACTTTTATTTTGTTCTGGCCAATCACTTTTATTCATATTGATCATTTTATTTATATACATTGGGTAATTAAGTATGATGTGAGATGCATTAAAAGTGGTTTTTGAACCTTGGTAATTATGCAATGAAGTTGAACAAGAAGCTTTTGCATGAAAAATTAAAGAGCTACTGATTGTTTTGATATTTGAAGTAAGTACTAAAATAAGTTATAAAAACACAAAAAAGTAAAGCTAGCCATAAACTTCTTCTACTTTCTTTGTTTATTAAATTTTTATCATACTTTAAGTCTGTAACGAAGGAAATATATATATTTTTAAAGCTTAGTAAATTTTTGTTAAAAATGGGTGAAGTAAAATGCATTTATTTGATTAATCTATGAGCTTTGATCTTACTTTTGAAACTAACAAAAGAATATGATTCCTATTACATGTTGTAGTTATTATTATTTTTCACTTTTTTTTATACAATGTTCTAATTATTTAAAATATGCAAGGATTCTTATTTGATACATAAGGTAACAAAAATTGATAATATATTTAGAGTAGGCAAATTATTCAAAAGGATTAAATCCAAAAACAAAGAAAAACCTAGAAAATAAAAGGTATGAACTAGATAAAGGATCAAATCCAATGCAATATGGTTCTTTTATGTACAATTGTTATCTAAACACTTGAGATAGAGGTTTCTTGAAAAGAGACAAGCTTCAAAGATTGCAAAAGAGATGATGAATTTATGGAAATAAGGTAAAGTTGTGTTTTATCAATTTAATTATATGTTAACCATTACTATTGACATAGTTTGATTTGCACATGCTAAAGAAAAATAATTAAAAATTTTGCTTTCTCTACTTTATTTTTCTTGAATTACAAATAATAAAACTAACAAACAAACTTAAAGAACAAACTAATTTAGGTGTTAAGCTTTATTATTGGCTTTGATTCGATGGGCAACTCAAAATTTTTATAGGGCAATTATGGGCATTAGCTTTTACTTTTATTTTGATCCTTTGATTTGAATTTTAAACAAGTAAACTTTTTCTATTGGTTTAGTTCATGTTTGAATTGTTATTTTTGTGTGCAGTAGGTGAAATTTTGTCTAATTTTGATTGTTTCTAATTTTTTTTTCTTTACTTTATTTTTCTTAAGATGCTATATAGAACTAGAAAACAAACTTGAAGAAGAAACTAATTTAGGTATTAAGCATTATTATTTACTTTGATTTCATATGCAATTCAAATTTTTATTAAGACAATTAAGGATTTTAGTTGTTGCTTTTATTTTGACCCTTTCATTAAAAATTTAATCAAGTGGACTTTTCTGATGATTTAATAAATGTTTGAATTGCTATTTTAGTGGGTAGTATGTGAAATTTTGTTTAATTTTAATTGTTATAGGTATGGTGTTCATTTAATTTTAAATTTGATTAGATATTGTTTTAAGGATTTTGTTTGCCATGTTAACATGTATATATGTGGAAAGTAATAATTACTTATATATTCTTACTTTTACTCTTGAAAATAAATTTGAAAAAAAGAAGATTACATCTTTACTCAACTATTTCAAC